GCCCTGCGACAGACTGGCGACCTGTCCAGGGTGTACCCCGCCTCTCGCCCTATGACAGCTGGGATAGGCTCCAGCGCCCCCCGCGACCCTGAAAAGCATAAATGGAAGCGAATGGATGGATGGATTTACTGGCCTGTAATTAAAATCAAACTAAAAACTTTGAAGTCCGAACTTTCAATGTGGCCTGAAATAGAGACTCAGCGTGGCTGCAGCTTGTTGCTATGTCAGCTTACATCAGTCATGTGATTTGGAGGTGAAGCATGTCAGTGGACCACAGAGGGTTAATAACACTCACCTTCCTTCCATTTACAGAGTGTAACATCAACCCACCTGTGTAAAATCCGAAACTCCCATGGTGTTGTTCAGAATGTGCTCTGGCACAATCATAAGCATTGCTTGCTACTGAAAACAAGAAAAAAGCCGGTCCTGCTATGGGCTGAACTATTTGTTAATGTGGGCGGGGGGGGGAGAGACACTATGCAATATATTCAGTTTTAGCATTTATATTCACTCTTAACTGTAACTACGCTCAAACTGTTAATTCTATCTTATTTTAATAAACAACACTGTCATATGCAAAACTGGGGTGGCACTTGGGGTGGCAAGGGATAATTTTAGGGTGGCACTTGCCACCCCATGCCACCCTTCTAGATCCGCCCCTGTGTACAAGTAATTACACAAACCTGAGTAAAAGTGAAGGTGTTAAACTAAAAGTTTGTGCGTCCAGTACACCGCCTTACACAATGACAGGAAATGAGGCACTGAACACCTTTACAAAAAGTCACATGATCCTGAGTGAAAATGAAAGTGTTCATCTAACAGTATAAGAGGAGTGGTCAGAATCCCTGCAGCACTACACTGTATGAAGAACTGAAAGGAAGTGATTTACAGCAATAGTACAACAATTTCACTGCCAGTAGTGCAGAAGCAGAAAATAGTTGAGGTTTTGTTTCAGATACTGGCCGAGCCACATACTGCTTGTCCCCAGCCTCCATCAAAAGTTCTGCTAGAGATGCTGGTCCAGTAGCTTCCCCACCAACTGATCCAACTCACCACCATGGTGATCAGCTGACTGCTCAGCTCCACTCGTCAACCAAGTGTGCAGAACATAAGGCCACAGATCCAATGACATGATTTCAGAATTGATTATCGACCTGTGACCTAGTTTGTCCTGGTGCCACGTGCTCTTATGGACCACGTTAAAATATGGTGTTTGTTACTGTATTGACACTTGTATGGACCCACATGTTTTAAGGCACAGGGCTGCAAAGTATGAAAATCGTGCACAGTGTTTTGTTTAATTGCTTTCTATTGCTTAATTTTTTGAAAGTACTCAAATTGTTTGGGAGAGAGGCAGAGAGTTTGTAGCCTTTTTCAAAATGTGAAATATTAAACTGTCTTTGGGGCATAAATAGTTATATATTTTCCTCTCATTACTTTCAGAGAGAAACTGACTGAATAACTTGGAGCAAATGTTGGATTAAAGATTCTGTATCAACAATGGAGGTAAAATATATGAAACAGATATTGTTCTCTGGAGACATTGTGTTTGCAAAAATATATTTACATGTGTTTTTTCGTGTTTTATCATCATTTGTAAAAAAAAAAAAGGACAACAATGATGAAGATTTAGTTGTTGACCTATACTGTGAGGAAATAAATGACCCTCCATCAGTACCAAGTTCTACCTGCAGGAATGACTGTCAGCAGATGCTTACAGGAGGTAAAGTCAGCTCTATGCTTTTTATTGCCACAGCAGAAAGACATGATATGATGTGAGCTCTGTAAATACAACGATTATTAATATTATCAATACTACTATCATTATCCCCACAGCGTCTTGTTGTCATGTGAAGACAACAGTTTTTAATATCAGCAGTGAGTCAGTTTCTCAGCATTTGGACCCTCCTGGTGGTGAAAGTGAGAACTACACAGTGATTATATGCAGAGAGGAAAAAACTGAGCAAGAGTCGACAGACATGAAGAGCTCAGAGCCAGACAACCTGAAACCAGAGGAACAGAAGTCCAGCCAGACTCCTGAAGACATAAAGGATGAAACCAAAGGTCAGTCTGTTGTCTCTCTCTCTCTCTCTCTCACACACACACACACACACACACACACACACACACACACACACACACACACACACACACACACGTAAGTCAAATTTAACCCCAATTTGAAAAAAGTTGGTACACTGGTTAAAATGAAAATAAAAACAGAATGCAATGTTTTTGAATATCATAAATCCATATTTTATCCTCATAGAGCATAGAAAACATCAAATTGTGAAAAGGTGAAAGGTACAGTTAATGAATATTTTGATAAACTGTTGCAGAATAATCACTAGACACGTTATAACCTATAAAGGTTAGCACAGAGGGCACAATAGATCAGATCAACACGTAATTTAAGTTCTTGTGTGAACAAGGCCATTCATTTTAGATCTGTGTCTTGCAATACTAAAGAGACAATAGTTACTTTGGAAATAATACATATCTTTCTATACACAGTGAAACACCTGGAGAGCTTATTGGAAGAAATGGGCTTGAAGCAGAACTACAGAGAGAAGTTATCACTCAGCACAATACTTGAGATTGACAAGAGAACCATCACTGATGAACCTGCCAAGTGTAAATCAGACCTACCATGGTATTTTCTAAAGAAAATTATGATGTTTAATGTAACTGCTAGGAATGTGAAATGCACATCAGTGCCTGAATCAAACAGTGATGATCAATCAGTGAGTGAAAAGTTCAGTCTTAAACATCTGGTCAGCAGTTCAAACAAAGACAGCATGGTGAACCCCCTCGACATAATCACTGCTCTCTTTCTGTGTTCTGATGGTTTTCTACAGCAGGAAATGGCACTAAAAATGTCCATGTGTCAGTTCTCTGTCCCTCTGCTGCTCCCCAGTTGTGACACAGGACAGTGCACACTCATGCTGTGGGCCATGAGAGACATTGTTAAAAAGTACAGACCTCAGTCTCTTTCACAGTCAAAGGGCTTCATTGAAGAAAGAATTGTTCTCTCTGAACTTCCAATGGTCTCTTTTGTCAGACTGGGTGAGTGCTCCTTGTCCAAGTCCAAGTTTCTTAATGAGCTTCTGAGCAATTCTCAGCAGTACCACGACACCTTTGTTCACCACAACATGGAGTGTGGTGACAGTCCAAGACAAATTTCCAACGGACTGACTGAAATTACTTGGTATCTTCCTTGTGGAAACACAAACATTGACATTTTCAGTCAGCCAGTGGCTGTAGCTAACCTTCGTGGGGACATTGCTTCATTTGAAACACAATACTCCTTTTTGTGTCAGACATCTGCAGCAGTTTTTGTCTTCTTTGACCATTTGGATTCTGAATCTGAGTCTGTGTTCAATCTGCTTAAAAGCCAAAACCACAAAGCACAGATCTTCTTGGTCGGTAACTATGAGAGCAAGCGCCTGAATTTAGATGTTTTGGAAAAAGTGGTATTGAAGTTGGGCTTGACTGAAAATATCATTATTAAGACAAAGCAGAAAAATGAAGCAGACTTTGTAAAAGATTTGAGGGAAACAGTCAGAAATGTGGTTGAGAAATCAGAGCTAAAGATGAAAATAAAGAAGATGGTGGACGCTGCCCATGAACTGGGAATCCTGGTTGATGAAAACGCTCCAGAGTGCCAGACTGCAAAGAAAAATGCAAAAACCATCACTGAAGAAATTCAAGACATCCATAAATACAAAGAAGATCAGCTTCCCCGACAAGGACAAATATGGAAAACACTGACCTCGTTGGAGAAGGAAGAATTTCGACTTCGAAATGTTGGGTCTAAAACTATAGCAACTCATACAAGTGATCTTAAGAAACAGAAACAAGAACTGCGGAAAAAGCAGAACTCTTATGAGATATCAACAGCTATGACAAACTTCATCACTGGGATATCAAGCCCAGGAACAGAAAAGTTTTATTTCCTGAAATGGATGCGAATGAACCTCGATAATGTGTCTCGTGAAAAACTTTCTGAACTCAGGGAGAAATATAAAGAAAAATGCAAGAACTCCGAGAACAAAGAGGAGATTGAAGAAATTGACAGACAAATTTCCAACAGCTCACTGGGGACTGAACACTTCTTCCGTGAAATGGGTCAGATCTATGAAGCTTCACTGTCTCTTCCAGAAACAGACAGATCACGTCAACAATTGCAGGATCTGCCCAAACTGTGTGCAGAGTTGTTGCTTGATGGATTTCCTCTTGAGCTTGTAGATGGAGATGCATCCAACATCCCTCTCAGATGGGTGAGTGATGTTCTCTCTCAGCTCAGTGACCTGGTGTCTCCAAACAGAAAGATACGAGTAGTCACAGTTCTTGGAGTTCAGAGCACAGGAAAGTCCACTCTCCTTAACACCATGTTTGGAGTGCAGTTTGCAGTCAGCAGTGGTCGATGTACTCGAGGTGCCTTTATGTTGCTCATCAAAATCAATGAAGACATGAAAAATGTCCTAAACTGTGACTTCATGGTGATCATTGACACTGAGGGCTTAAAGTCACCAGAACTTGCACAACTGGACAACAGCTATGAGCACGACAATGAGCTTGCAACACTTGTTGTGGGACTGAGTGATGTCACCATAGTCAACATTGCAATGGAGAATTTAATTGACATGAAAGACATCCTACAAATAGTTGTGCACGCTTTTCTCAGGATGAAGGAGGTAGGCAAAAAGCCTAAATGTCAGTTTGTTCACCAGAATGTGTCGGATGTTTCAGCCCATGATAAGAACTTACGAGACAGGAAACTGCTCCTGGATCAGTTAAATGAGATGACTCAGGCAGCAGCCAAAATGGAAAAGAAAGAGGGGAACAAGAGCTTCACTGATGTGATGGAGTACAGTCCAGACACTGGGAACTGGTACATTCCTGGACTGTGGAATGGAAACCCACCAATGGCACCAGTCAGTGCAGGATACAGTGAGGCTGTATATGAGCTCAAGAAAAACATCATCCAACTAGTGAGAGACTGTGAATCATCTGCTAATGATATCATGGAGTTTAAAGAGTGGGTGAAAAGTCTGTGGAATGCAGTAAAGCATGAAAACTTCATCTTCAGCTTCAGAAACAGCCTCGTAGCTGATGCATACATGAAGCTCTGCACAGAGTTCAACAAATGGGAGTGGGAGTTCAGAAAAGAAATGTACACCTGGGTAAGAGATGCAGAAACAAAAATGTACAATTTTGGTACCATTGCAGCAAAATCTGAAACATCTGACATGAGAGAATTTCTCGAATCTTTGAAAAGTGAAGCCTCCACAGTGCTGTCTGCATGGGAGACAAAGATTCTGAACAATCTGACACAATATTTCAAGCAAACAGAGGGTCATGTGTATCTGGTTGAAGGATACAAAGAGGAATTCTCAAACAGTGCAAAGGTCCTTCGTCGTGAAATAGAAACTGGTGTAAAGTATCAGCTTGAAGCAGCAGCAGAAAACAGACAGGGAATGATAAAAATTGATAAAATCAAAGACAATCATACAACTGAGATTCAAAAAGCAGTGTGTGCATTAATTGAAAGATGTCGAAAGAAAAAAGTCCAAATGACAGACACTGAGTTGGACAAAAAGTTTGAAAACATGTGGAGGGAAACATTACAAAAACTTTCTCTCTCTGAACAAAAAACCTCAAATGTCACAGACAACGTGTCCCGCTATCTCAGAGAAAATCTGAAACACAGGGGGAGCCGTGCAAATGAGTTATTAAGTGAAAAGACTCTGCAAGAGTGTGGAAAACAGTCTTTCAAAATTACAGCTGAAGGATGGTTCAAGAAATTTAAAACAGGATTGATACAGTTCTTCACCGGTCAGAATCACATAATGGCTGTTCAAGAGCTTGCTGACAGCATCATAGATATTTGCACAGACTTTGTGACTGAACAAGTGAGAAGAAAAAACAATTACCATGACACTTACATCCAGGAGATCCTCCACATGATTGATGAGAAGCTGCAAAACAATAAAGATGTCAAGATAAACACTGAGTTTGAAGTTTCTCTAAAACAGCACATCTGTGGATTCGCAGCCGGAGAGTTTCAGAAAATGCACGAAGATTTCATAGAAGAAAACGATCCGTACAGATGTCTGATTAAAAACAAGGAAAAGTTTTGTGATGATTTCAAAGATGTGTTTCATGAACGAGACCAGTGTCAGAAGAAGGCAGAAGAATTCACAAATCGATGTTTGAAGCCTGCTGTTGAAGACTTTGTTAATCGCTCCCTGGGTCTTAATATCATTGATGAAATGAGGAAACTCGAGCAGTTCAGCACAAGAATGTCTTTACAGTATTCAGTTTTACTGGATTTGCTTTACAAGGAGGATTTTCAAAACTTTCTGAGCTATATTTGTTCATATGAGAAGTATGTAAAGACATGGATACTCAAACAAATAAAGAAGCGCTTCTCAAATGAGTCGACAGTTTTTGAGTTTGAGGACCGACATCTGCAGTCATGTATTGACAGCATAAATTCTGCCATCAACAAGGCCAAAACCAGAGAGCGTGATGACTTGAAAGCTTTCGTTGAAGACATTTGGAAAGAACTTGGTGATAAACTGGTCATTTCCCAGGATGCTCTTGGTGCTTTCATGATACTGAACAATGCTGACAAGGAACAGTTTGCTGACTGTCTCACGGCATCTGTGAATGACATGACAGAAACTCTTAGAAAGAAGTTCAAAAAATCTACCTTTGAAATGAAACTACAACATCTCCATGTGCAGCCTCAGAATGAGCTTTTCAACAAATTGATTGGTTGTGGCCAACAGTGTCCATTCTGCAAAGCTCCCTGTGATGCAGGAGGAAAAGCCCATACTGAGCACTTTGTTTCACTGCATAGACCAAAGGGTCTGGGCAGATACAGCTGGGAGCGGTCAGAAAAACTTGTCACTGAAACATGCTCAACCGACATAATCAGTGAAAAAAGATTTCGTTGCAGTGATACAAACAATGAATGGCATCCTTATAAGGATTACAAGAAAATCTATGAAGACTGGAATATTCAACCAGATGTGAGCCTTGAAGCTTCAGACTACTGGAAATATGTAATGAAAGAATACAACAGCAGCTTTGCCAAAAAATATGAAGTAGAACCTGCAGACATTCCAGAAGCTTGGTATGACATCGACAAAGGTCAGGCAGAAAAAAGTGTCAAAGAATCATTTTACAGGAAGTAACTACTTGTAATCATCTTCATTTCGTTAGAAAAATAATCCTCATAAGAATTACAAGGAAATTTTCAGCCAGACATTCCAAAATCTTGGCGTAACATCAACAAAGATGAGGCAGAGAAGAAGTCTCAGAGAAGCATTTCACATCAAATAACTACATGTAATCCTTCTCATTTTATTCTGGTGTACAGAAGAACATATCACTGATATTTTGTTTGTGATACTAAAGAAAACTCTTCAATATTTTAGGAGGCAACATAAAGATCCTGTTAGTAAACAGTGCATTCATTCTCTTTCGCTTATCCAATTCTGGGTAATGTAGGTGGAGATACAACTTATCCCAGCTGCCATAGAGTGAGAGGCGGGGTACACCCTGGACAGATCACAAGTCTGTGATCTGTCCAGGCTAACTCAGAGAGACAGACAACCATTTACCCTCACATTCACACCTATGGTCAATTTAGAATCATCAGTTAACATAACCCCACTAACTGCATGACTTTGGACTGTGGGAGGAAGGCGGAGTACCAGGACAGATTCCATGCAAACTCCAGACAAAAAGGCCCCGTTTAGATGTAAAGTAAAATAATAAAATTACTGATCACCTTCACATAAGTTTGTATTTAGCATATTTAATGAAAAAATAATCAAATCTCAAAAATGTAAAGAATTTTGTTTGTGTTTTTTTGGTAAACCATATATATACCATATAAGGTTCGAATCCACTGAATGCCTACCCTGAAGTACCCCTGAGCAAGGTACCGTCCCTACACACTGCTTCCCGGGCGCCTGATTAGTGGCTGCCCACTGCTTCACTGAGTGAATGGGTTAAATGCAGAGAGAGTAATTTACCCATGGGGATCAATAAAGTATACATTATTATTATTATTATTATTATTATTATTATTATTATTATTATTATTATTATTATTATTAAACCAAATAGATATGATATGTGAACTTTTATTGATTCATTTTCTTTCTTGTCAAATACTCACATTTTTTGTTATGGATGAATAGTTTTCTTTCTTCCTCTTTTTTTTATATAGGAAAGTAATTAAGAAATACACAGACTCAGTATACAATTTGTTTCTGTGAGAAATCTGGTGTCAAATATTTACATGTTCAATGTATTAAAAGATCATCTGAGTAAAAGTTGTTTTGTGTCAAGTCAATTGAGTATGAGAATTTCAAATTTGCTTTTCCTTCTTTGACATGCCTGATTTTACATGTACTTTTTAAGTGACTTATACTATCATTCATTTTCTATCTGGTGTGATTTATGAATCAAATTATTTTAATTCCCTAATTCCAGTGGCTAGGGTCAAACTTTTAAGGTTGCTCAGCTCCCAATCACATTATCATGGTTACAGTCCCACTAATGCGATATGCTGCTTACAAACAAATTCAACCCTTTTCACCTTTGTAAACCTTAATTCAGTTGGATAAACAGTAGAAATGTTGTTAAAAGCAACCCAATTAGTTGGATGAGTTATTGTCTAGACCTAGTGTCTAAGAATAATCACAGATTTGGTTTATGGTTATCAAAGTAATCAATTATGTTGATCAATAAATTAAAGAACTATTTGTTGTAAAGGCGATAAGAAGAGTAACATGTACAATATTGTTTCAGTCTCTTAACCACATAGATGTAAGCCACCCCCCCCCCCCCCCCAAAAAAAAAAAAAAAAAAAATTCAATACATACATAAAAATTACATTCCCACTCCAAATACCTGGACAAAAAGCAAACTGGTCAAAGAGCTGTTTGTAAATTACACTTTTTAAATTGATACAAATCCTCCTTTTATTGTGCAGGCTCAACACAGTATCGGGTACATCAGTTGCAAAAGTGCAGAAATTAATGTCAGTGTGGTGGCAGTCATTCTTTTTAAACAATGTTTACATTGCAATGAATCCTGTTAAATGCTTCCACTCGTATCAATGCATATATTCTATGGACTTCTTTAAGCTTTTTTAAAGACGTTACCTCTGTGTGAGCGTTGTCATAAACACGTCATGACATTAGCATGATGACACCACGAACACTGGACATTGAAATCTGTTTTCATTCTAACCCATTCTGTCCCATATAGACAAGTTGGGAAAATATAACAGTAGAAGACTAATTACTATCGCTACTGTTCTTTACTTCTTTTTAGGGATGCTATGATGAACTTTAGGGGTGCTTGAGTGCCCCAACGAAGGAGTTTAAACTTGCCAATGCAGTTTGTAAATGATCAAGTAATCAAAAGTAATTTCTTACGTCTTCTAACTACAAATCAAGAATGTCAAAAATACTAAAGAATCTAATCTGGCCCTCTGGATGACTTTATAAGTATGAAAATTTTAATTTTTGTGTTGGTTGTAACATTACTACATGGTAGTAAAGATATTCTGAAACATAGTTGTTGAGTTTGTAAATCAGGCAGCGGAGGCGACGTCTTCACTGCACAGGCCACAGGGTCTGGGTGAATACAGGAAATTCTCAACAGGTATACTTCTCACTGACTTATGCTCTTCCAATGTGAAAAGTCACAAAAACTTTTGCTGCATTGAAACACAATATAAACCACACCCTTATAAGAATTACAAGGAAATTCTCAAAGACTGGAAAATTCAACCGGATGAGAGCCTGGAGGCATCAGACTACTGGAAATATGTAATGACAAAATACAACCGTAACTTTGCTCAAGAATATGAAGCAGCACCTGCTGTCATTCCAGAAGCTTGGAAAAAAATCAACAAAGAACAGGCAGAAAAAAGTTTGAAAGAATCATTTTACATCTAGTAACTTTCCAATTCATGGTGCGCGGTTGACTGGAGCCTTACAGGAGAAAATATCACAATAATTGTTTTTGTGATACTGAAGAAAAATTTCTAAATTAAGATATTGTTACTACGCAGAAACATAACTACTGTGGCTTACAATAAAATTTAAAAAACAACCCACAATGCTAGCTGATCACTTTCATCAAGTTCATGAAAAATACTCTAATTCAGCGGTGCCCAACCCCCGGGCCACGGACCGGTACTGGTCTGTGAGTCGTTTGGTACCGGGCCGCGAGAGTTGACTCTGTTTTTATCGTTAACTCGGCTTCCTTGGGGCTTTTCCTGTCTGTTATGAATAAATCTTCTTTGTTTGGTACTGATACTGGTTTTATTTTGTTGTATTCATCCGCAAAACCTTACAGTCAGTGAAAAAATTGTTGGACATTCGCGGCAGTACAATAGACACTGAGAATATGCATGTCGTCACTGATTAGTTATTTTATTTTAACTTTTAAATACATATGATATGTGACATGTAATTGATTCCTTTTGAGTTTTGTTAAACTTTTGTGTCAAATGACTTAAATTAAAAAAATTCAGTATATAGTTTTTGTTTCTATGAGGATTATTGAGACAAGTATTTAAATGTTTAGTATTTTAAAAGATCATCTGAGTACAAACTGTTTTTTATTCATTTGACTATCTGATTTTGTTTGATTTGGTTTCATAGAAATTATCATAAGCTTTTCTTTCACTGACATGTCTGATCTTCCACCCAGTTTTTAAAGGACTTACAGGATTCATTTTCTTTCTGGTGAGATCCACAAGTTGAGTTAATTATATTCAGTCACTCAGTTCTAATCCTAAATGACCTCAGTTATGTCTGTTTGTCACAGTTGTTGAGTCTTTGCCATTGTAAAGCGTTAAGTGATGTAACACAGGATCGCAGTGATGTGTTATTTTGATTTGTATCAGTTTTTATGTGTTGGAGTTAAATAAACTATATTCAGCCCCAAATATATGACCATAATGCTTCAACCGTTTGTGTCCACATACATCTGGACTATTAAACACTGGTCACAGTTCAGGCCAGAACCTTCCCTCACAGTTCGGCAAAAAACTGAATGGTGAAATATCCCCAGCAACAAATCCATGTCTTCTTTAACAATTCATTGAAAGACGTAAAGTTAGAACAAAAATGTGGTTATGGAATTGTGAAAGAGTAAAGGAGGTGTACATGAATGGAAAGTACACTGAGATAATCTGGTCACCAGTTTATATTTAATGAGTGTATTCCCTAAAGGAAATGTATGGACTCATGATGGAATGAGTGATGCATTTTCTCACTGAAAGTCATACAAGAAACATTTTTTTAAAAGTTTTCTCAGATTTGCAAATTTGCAATTGCTGGGTTTTTTCAATGGTTAACATTGAAAAAAAAAATCCCTTTGATCCAGACAGTTAGCTATATCATGTATTAACTCAGTAACTAAAACCTCAGTATTTTAAATGTAAGTTTACCTTGTTCAGAAATCAGATTTAACACGCTGTTCTAAGAATCCGTCAGACACAGTAATGCCAAATAATAGATTTTTCTGCCAATAAATGTGTATTTGATGCAAAAGACTGCTAGCTTGTTCGTTTTTCAAAAAGTGTTTATGTGAGTGTAAAATGTTCAAATGTAGTTTTCAATAAAGTTTTTTTAACCCACTCTAAAAAAAAATCCTCAAGCATTTGCATCGTGGTTTTATGAACAAAAAGTGACTGAAGTAAAAAAAGAAAAAAAAAGACTACACTCATTACAAATTTAGATGATTAAATACAATAAGAAGAGTTTTTTTTAACAGAACTTTATTGAACAAGTGAACACACAAAGCTAAAAGTCATTTGAAAAATACATTTTTCAGCAGTAATACCATAACAGAATATCTCAGAAACATTAGCAGCACAAACGCTAATTTTACCTGCACAAATCAGCACAAACGTAGCACTAAAAAAGTAGACCGTTTTGGTCTGTTTTGGAGCAGTCTGGGGGGATGGTGACCTTTGAATGACCTATAAAATAAAGTTTAATATCTCAGAAACCGTAGCAGCACAAACGCTTATTTTACCTGCACAAATCGGCAAAAACGTAACACTAACTGCTTCCCCTATTTGCCTTTACGTTTCAAGTGGGGGGGGGGGGGTCAGTTTCACTCTGCTCTCTGGTAGCAAGAAAGTGCGCGTGCTCTTCGCGAGCTTGTTCCCGGCTCATAACCAGCGCGCTCTGCCGTCAAGGGCGATCATTGATTAATGGGTAGTCATGTGACTGATGCAAGTCAGATCTTTTTATTTAGCAAAACTGTGATTAATAGTTAACTATTATTGTTAAGGAACACAGACAGGACTCCGCACGCACACACACATTTTTTTTTTAATTACAATTTTAGGGCACTTTGGGCACCCATCGGGAAAGGGGCAGGTGCTCAGCCCAAGCCCAAGTATGTAATGAAATGCTTATTCACTTCAGTGAAGATTTCTCCAAAGAAGACAGGGAGGCTCATTCTAAGCTGTGGCCAATGGTTCAGGAGGCCAGGAAGAAGGGAAAAAGAGCGTTTCTCAAGGAAGGTTACGCACTGATTAGTCGGGTGGATCCTGTTTGAACATCCTTTGTAACATTGTTCCATTTCAGGTACTGTGACTAGTTTAC